TTTGTAGCACATAATTGTTGAATTTCCATTTCAGGACATTAAAAGAGATTATCTTCTTGTCGGGTTACACGGGATACACGGACTGCATGGTAACACTGAGCGCAAGGCAGGACGACTATGATACTGGTCTGGAAAAAAAAAAAAAAAACAATGAAATTATTAAAATGCATAAGGTTCTACTAGTCGTGCTGAGATGAGTGAGACGAGAGTGCGTACGTACGTATTTATCCATTAGAATTTTCTGAATTTTGTTCCATTTGCTATTGCCTAAGTGTTACGATGCTCGATGCTATTAATTTTAGCACGTCGATTGTGATACAACAATACTAGATTTCAATTTTATTGGTGAAGCCTTTGGTGAATCAAATGTGATACGTGTGGTTCGGCTTTCGGAATACATCAGACATTAGGATTGCAGTTGCTGCTGTTTGAATTATTAGTCAACCACTGAATAGTTAGTACAGATCCTTTCAACATTACTTTTTATGGTGCGTTCGTACATCCAAACGTAATTACCATTGTAGATGAGTTCTTCGTTCAAGTTTATCATGAAATTACTCATATTCTTTCTGGTTTTGCATCTAAAAGTCTTTTTCGGATTGTTTGCATAGAAAGAAAACTTACAAAAAAAATTCACCAAACACAATTACTCGCAAAAAAAAAAAATTGCCCCGAAAATAAAATCTTAACAATCCTTTCTTTCCGTTGGGTTGAATATTCTTTATGTTGAAAGAAAAACAACACCAACTGGCTTCGGATTATTTTGTTGTTTTTTTCATATTCTTAATCCACAGCTTAGAAGGCTTTTCGTACAAGGCATTCGGAAAGAGCATCAAATCCTTGTTATACAATTCATAATTTTTTCCTTGACAGGCGTGTTTCAATGTCTAAAAAAAGATGGTCAACGAAAGTTTATGAAATAAATTGGGCTGGTTAAATCGTTTAACTTACTGTTTATTGAGTTTTGCTTCGAAGCATTTCTTTTTGTTCTCCTCAATTGTAATGTGGTCTGCTGAATTTGCCGTGAATCCGTGTCGCCTAATTCCGCTTCGGAAATCTTTCTTTTGACCCTGGCGGACCTTTGATCGGTAATCTTTTCAACCAATGGTTTGGTCTTGGAATTCCTCGTCCTTCGTGTTTCCTTAGGAACACTTATA